TAATTGGACAACTAAAAATACATAGAAAAAATTAGCCAGGCATGGTGGCGCATGCCTGTAATCCCAGCTACTTGGGAGGCTGAGGCAGAAGGATCACTTGAGCCCAGGAGTTTGAGGTTACTGTGAGCTAGGCTGATGCCACGGCACTCACTCTAGGCCGGGCAAAAGAGTGAGACTCTGTCTCAAAAAAAAAATAAAATAAAAATAAATGGGGGTGGAGGAGAATGGAGAGATATACACACTATGATTTAGAGCAAAGCTTGCAGAGAGAAAACTTCTGAAGATAAAGTTTCTAGAAAGGGATGAAAACAAACAAACCAAAAATAGATCACCACGAAGAATAAGAATGATATTTAATATTAAATTTCTCAACATAAACACAGCAAAGTAGAAGATTATGGAGCAATGCCTTTGAAACTCTGAGGGTAAATGATTTTCAACCTAGAATTTTATCAAGTAAAGATATTTTCAGATATGCAAAAACTGAAAAAATATATGCCCCATGAACTTTTACTCATGAAGCTACTTGGAAGATATGCTCCAACCAAACAAAGGAGTAATCCAAGAAAAAGGTGGACAAGGGTCTAGGAAAAAGGAGATTCCAAAAGAAGAAAAAAGGAAAGAGAAAAATTCAAAATATCAGCAATCTAAGAAGCAATCAATCCATAGTTGAGCAAAATATGAAACACTGGAAAAACAGAGAAATAAAAAGGAACTCATGTGTTTGAACATATGATGAATGTTAATGATAAGAGTGTAGTAGAAGTGCTAGAGCCACTAGAAAATCATATGTTGTCTTTGTAAAAGACTAAGCAAATTAAAAGAAAAAGCTGATTATCAACCATAAGAAAAATAAAGGATTATATAAGAAAGGATATTTGCTCATCATCATTTATTACATGGCTCAGTAGTAAATTTATTTATGAAGTAGTTATAATAATCTTAAAACTACCACTGATTGAACCGAAACTCATGACTTCACTTTAAGGGATGGAAAGGGAAAGTGAAGATGATGTAGGAGAGCAGTCTTTATCTTCCATAGTTAGATGTTAAGATTACGCCTGAAACTGGTAAATCAAGAAATAGCAGCATATATACATTATTTGGAAAACTGGAGGAAATGCCAAGAGACCAGCTGGAGGAGCTGAGGATAGCTGCCTATAGGGACTGAAAGATGGAGAGGGATGAGTAAGGCATTGCTGCTTGCCATTTGAAGTTTTTTGGATCATTGAATTTTCAAACTATATCCATGTATTACTTTGATAAAAATATTTCATTTTAAAATACATCTAGACTAATAACATTTTCTTCTATAATAAAATAGTAAACTATAAATTCATAAAGAATTCAATTCAACCAACATTTATTGAGAACTTACTGTCTGAAAAGTGCTGTCCTGTGCCCTTAGACCCAGGTTTAAAGAATCTCACATTACACTACCTGAGGTCAGTACATAAATCATGCAAGGAAGTAAGTCGAAGAGGAAGCAATCAATGTCAAGGTTCTATTTTGGAACAGAAGCTTTATGATACAAGCCTCTATAAAATCCTACCTCACCAATGTGGACCTTAGTAGGGTTCTTCCAGATCTGACCCAAGATAAGTCACATGGTTTCTGCACTCAACAACATTAGTAATAGTAAAATGAGGGTTGTAATATATTCTGCTTGTACTACATCTTCTTAGTGAGAAAATTAAAAGCTTCATTGTTTTTTACTTTCTGAACAATCTGTGGGGAGCCATTCTAAAACAAAAAGTTATCAATGGTTTGCTTTCATCTCAAAGAGGCAGAATGAGTAATGTGCTTCAGAAATTAGGTCCTACATTTTTATAAATGCTAAAAATACAGTCACATCTGAACCTGACCTAGACTTATTAAAGCTGTCAATTATATCACAATTTGGAAAGCAGGGTAAAAATTCATATTGACCTTAATAATTGAGAAAGAGAGAGAGAAAATAGATAAAATTTAATACAGTTACGAGCAGAATAATTTACCTAGGCAAAACATAATCTCCACACAAATAAGTGGCAGAAAAATATTGAACTAAGGTCTAAAAATGAGTCAGTGAAAGAATGTTACATTCTTATAAAAGCTAGTAATAACTAAGGATTCATTAAAGAATAATGCAGAAGTAGAATATCTAAAGGAATCAGCAGACGGAGCAATCAGGTTTACTGGGTTCCATAAATTTAAAAAAAGATGTAGGGAGCGCAGAGTACTGACTGCAACAAAATGACAATGCTGCTGTTTGATATTTACTTTGCATCATACTGAACAGTTTTTTATTTAAAAATTATTCAGCATTCTTAAATTTGTTGAAAAATTGGTGTAACAAGATATTTAATATTACTGAAAACAAAAATTATAAATTACTAAAAAATTAGGTAAAATATAAACTTGTAAATTTTAAATATCATCATTCTAATATAATAGTATTAAATATAATTTTCAAAATAAAGTAAAATTAATAAAAATAAATTAGTTTAAAAAATTAAGACCTAACACTTTTTGTGTTATTTTAAAAAATAAAGTACCTCAATAGTGTCATTAATGAGTACACTTTTGTGTAAATTTTTCTAGCTGTTCTTCCTTATTCGATACTAGTCAGGGAAATAGTGGAAAGATAGTATTAATAATAAGTCTATTCGATGTTTTGTCGATAATTTGGGGAAATCTTTTCTAATAAGTTTTGTTTTTCTACGAGGACTACAATCTTTGTATTGCGATTGAATCACTGATTTTTTTTTCAGAGAAAGTTGTTCTCATTACATTCTTTAGTTTTCATCATGTACAAACAAATTAACTGTATCAATTTAAATACTTTTCTATTCACATTCCTTTTAGTTGAAAATCACTGAAGTAGATGCTCAAGACATGTTTCATGCTTACATTGGAAACTTTTTTTTGCTATCATTTTCTTCTGCCTTATGAGATAGAGAAATTCTAAACAGATGAATCTTTGTCCCCAGATTTTTAATCCAGTGTTAACTCTCAAAGAAGAGATTTGTTCAGCAAGTATTTTCATCATAATGGATTAACTGGATCATTAATTGGAATCAAAATTTAATGCTTCAGATCGCAAATTGGCCTTTTCATAGATACACCCAGAGCTAGTGTTTCCAGCAGCTCCTAGCTCTAAGGTCTTCTTTAATTTCAGGTCCCCTACTTTCCCTCTGCCAAATGTGGTGCATCCCTAGAGTTGCAGGCATTTCTTTAGCATTTCTGTACCCTCCCCCCAACCCCCATTCTCCCTGCCCCACCATAGACCTTTTATTCACATCTCTAGGCAGCAGCCTAGTTATAGCTGTCAGTATTTCCCTTCCTACCCAACCAGGAGGAATGGCCCCTACTGGGTTTCCCAAAAAGAGATGCACAGTTTCAGAGAGCTCTGTGCTCTTCCACTCTGACAGTTTTTTCTGGTTAGAAGGGTGAGGAAGAGAGGTGAAGATGAAAGAGCAGAGATATTGAAGGAACTGAGTTATAAAGAGCTGCAGGAGGCTTATGGCAAGAAAATCAGAGCCTGAAGGGTTATTTGGTAGGGATAGAACAAAATCAAAAAGTGAATAATACTGCTGGCTGACGTATGAAATAACAGGTTTAGATCCACACAAATACTGGTATTTTAATATATGTTTTTTGGTTTTAGCATATACTACCTTTTATTGAAACTGATTTATCTTTCTATTTATACTTTCCTTGAGCAAACATCATTTTCTC